TGCTGGATTTACACCGTTGTGCCGACAACCAGAATCTATCCCATCTGTCTTTCCTTTGTACCAGTGGCACAAATGAAATGCAAAATTTGATCTAGTTTGGGCATCTCGTGCCAGTGGATTTACAAATCAAAAGGCTGGCAGAGTTTCCCCGGGATATATCCTGCACTCTGAGCTCATTGGAGTACATTGGATTCTCTGGCATTAGTACCACAGCAGGAGCTAAATATGGATACTTGACTGTTTGGAAAGACAATACCTTGCTGTTTTTTCTTGCATTGGAAGAAACAAAAAAGGCAGAGAAATTGAATTAAAGGGAATATGATGAATATCAAAGAAGGATTGACTGGAGTGGCACTCGCTGTTGGTATGCTGTGTTTGTCGTCTCCACCTTGTGCTGTGCTTAGGCACGGACCTGTCTTGCAGCATTACAGAAGTTCTCAAACTACCCAAGATACTATGTTAATAGTTACCAGTTATCTCGGAGAATGATAAAGACATAGTACATGCCCACACCATACCCGTGGCAGGTGAATAGGTCTTTGTCTGAAAGAAATCTAACGCACTTGCTAAGAATTGGAGTCTGTTCAAAAATGTGACTGTATCCAAACTGATGGAAAACACAAGCAATGTATACCTATGTCGCATGTGTCCTTTAAATACCAGAGTGCAGTCTACTTTGTGTATTTGTTTGCTAGACTCTTAGAAATGGGGTCATGCATGAAGCACAATGATAGGAAGTGTACTTTTTGGTGAAGGTGTTACTAACTATGTTGAAATAGAAGCCATCAGTCAATGGGTTCAGCTCCCAGAGGAGGGAGCTAGTGCATGGAGAGTCACAACTGGCATAGGCGAGATACTAGTGAGGTAAGCTGCCATAGTATCAACAACTCCATATTTGAAAACAAAACCAGTAGCTAGGAGAATCCAGTTATCTAAGCCTTTAAAGGTTTAGATTATTTTTCTGTACCTTTTTGTCTTTGAGCTGCTTATTTTCAGCTTTTCTTCCTGCAAGTGTGTGAGCTAGAAACTCACTGTCCTGTCCAACTAAAACCTCAGACTAACTTTTTTTGCTAGAGGCAAGGTACCATAAGACTCATGGTAATCATGAGGCCTTACACTTCTAGTCCAGGAGTCTGTGATTTGCCGATTTTTCAGGGGATAGCTTGGCTGAGGAATGCTTTGTCCTATTTGCAGTCACTGCAAAACATTCTTAGGAAACTCCGTGTCTACCTTTGACAGGAAGATGCATAGGCAAGCTCAAGGATAGTATCTAGAGCATACACGTGAGTTTAATGGTGCTATCCTTGTTTTGTTACATACAAAATATCTTGAAATAATGTGGTTCTGTGCTGGGAGTCCAGCTGGTGCTCTCATTTGCAGGGCTGATGTTGTAAAGAGAACAAAGTGGAAATTACTTGCTTGTGTCCTATCAAACTTTTCAGCATTTTAGCAATTTCTGTCTGCTCTGCCATGGGATGAAACCAAGAAACTCTTCATGTTACTGTTTAAAAAAAAAGAATCAACAAGAGAGATTTATCTAGCCTAGTTGACTCCGAGGCTCAGACCTGGGTCTCTCATACTGTAATAAAAGGATGCCCAAAGAAATCGCCATTTGCCAGTTTCTCTTCTTGGTTGTGCAGATGATGCAGTCTCTGTGCAGGGCTGGTCGCATGGCACGGGTCTTTTCTTGCTGGGTGTTTCCGCCTCTGCTCTAGTCATCCTTGGCCAGCTGGTCGATACGGATTCCGGGCTGGCTGGCATTGCCGGAGACCTTGCAGAGCCCTGCCAGTGTTTGGCCCACTCTTTTACAGTAAGGTGAAGAATCCGATTGAAGCTGGATGATCAGATTTCAAACCAGAGAATTCAGGCCGAAAGCTTCCCTTTCATTCTCCCCCTCCACGCCACTGCAGTGGGACACAGTCCAAATAAAAGTCACAGACATAAGATATCCCTGTCCTTTGTTGATAAAAACCCACGAGATGATTAGCATTGAAAAAGGATTTTGAATTGGCTTGTGTTTTATGGTCCAGGATCTTTTGCTCTTTCAATCTTTCTGTTGACTTGTTCAGAGCAATGGAAAACCTCTGAGATTTCTTAGCTGCTACCATGGGAGGATGGATGCCCTGGAGAGGTCACAGGAGATGGCTGGGACTGTGAGGACAGTGTAAGGAGGGGCAGCGGGGCTAGATTGCAGCTGGGGAGACTGTCTCAGTACATCATAGCCTCTCTTTCTCTGTGGGGCCCCATGAGCAGATCCAGCTGGCATGGGGACCAGCTGCAGTGGATTATGGGGTAACCAAGCTTCTTCAGAGCTGAGCTTTAGGGCTCTAGCTCCATTATGGGGATGTGAAGTGGGAAAGCGTCTTTCTGGCTCAGTGTCCCTGTGTGGGTTTGCAACGCTGCAGAGGATGTTTCTGTTCCTTCTAGGCTAGGTTTCATCTTGAAGGACAGAGATGCTTCCTAGACTTAATCCAGCTGTCTTCATTCAGGCAGCTCCTTGCCCGCACAGCTCTAACCCGCCACATTCACCTGCTTCTCGATCTGACAGTCCTGCAAGGCGATGGCACAGGGATCATCTCTTTATTCTGTATTTCTGCAGTCTCTGACACAATGGAGCCCTGGCTACTGTAGTATAAATCATTATGAATCTGTCCTTAGGCTCTTGGTGAGTCACTAATGAGACTCAAATGGAGGCAATTAAGTCAGCTTTTTTTTTTAGTACAGTTGTGTGATTCTTTATTAATTGTTCAAAGCCTTTCAGTGTAATTATATGTAAGGCAGAGTCCCAAAAAATCATACCTCATATGCTTCTTATGAAAATTCTGTTATGATGGCCTGAGACCTGCAAAATTCGTCATGAACACAAGGATTGGAGCTTACATTCATATAAAAAAGTCATATTTCCCAAAGGTGACATGCACAGAAAATACGAACAGATGAGTTTTTCTGTTGCTTTTTATTTATATGTCTTTTTATGTGCAAAATATGCAAGGTCTTAAATATGAATGTCTGCACGCCTGTGTATTTTAAATTACTGGGGGGGGTTTACATTGTGACTATGAAGTCTGTTTTTTCTCCTCTTTCTTTTGAAGGTGTCAAAGATGTGTTTGGATCTTTACTCTTAATTAAAGAGAGAGGAGAGAGGGGGATTTGAATCTTTAAAAGAGATGTCCACCCCTAACTTTTCTCAGGTATTTAAGTTCCATGTTAACAAATTCAAACAAAGTTGTAGTGTGTCAAATAAGGTGACTATTCTCTTGTTCTCTGTTATTTACTCAACAGTAACTTACCTTTAACATTTTGAAACGTGCCTGTTTCCAGGTCATCACTGCCAGGAAATGTGTCTTTTTATATTGATAATAACGTTTCGCCTGTTACCTGCACCTCTGAGGGGTCTCTTGCACCAGGTGCTCAGGGCTGGCTCAGCCCCACTTTCATTCATCCTGACTCAGAAGGAAGCTGTGAGGTCTTCCCAGCAGACAGCCACACCACCGGCTTTCCACAGCTTCCCATGGCACAGGCAGAGCAAAACACCGAGCCATTACACCCTGTATATATTTCCCAGCAGGCTGACAGCTGAACGTGTCGACATTTACCAAGTCTGTCCAACCTCCTGGATTTTCAGGTTTATAGAATTCCAATGGATGTGGAGAAGGTGGGCAGGGATCTGATGTTTATTTTGTCCTCTACCGTGAGAATTCGGGACCGTCATATGATACTAGCCAGTGACAGGTTAGAATTAATGAAAGATTGATCCTTCACATGATGTGTAGCTAAACTATGGAAATTTTTGCCACAGGATGGCACATGGGTTGGAGGGGGGAGATTGGATGAGTACCTGAAAGAGAAGTCCTTCGAACACTGGTAAGTGTCCAGAAAAAACCCGCCAGCTCGGTACCCTGTGGCAGATAGTTGTAGGATGGAAAATACACAGGAGAATTAACTTGTCTACTTGTCATACTTGTAGATTCTTGTTTTATACACCTGAATTTGACTACTGGTGGAGATAAGGATAGGTTAGATAGACCTTTGGTCTGACTCATTGCAGCTGCTCTTTTTCACTTGTGTTCCGCTCTTAGATGTTGGGCTAGTTGGTTTTACTTCACAGTGAGCTGCTCCGTTCTGTGATTTCATCCTGATGTGAACCTCTCTGGCTGCAGTGGGACTTTGCCAACATCCTTGAATGCACAGAGGGTGAATGAATTATGTTCCAATGCACTGTATGGTAGATAAATTAGAGAAGATGTGTTAATCAATGACGTTTCTTATGGTTTCAGATCATTTCTAGTGTTGCAGCTGATTCAACAGCTTTGTACAGTTCAGCTTCAGAGGAACAATGACAATCAAGATACTGGCCCAGCAGTTTGGGCTTATGGGGTATCTTAATTCAAAATCCTTTTTCCAGCTGTGCTCGGAGCATGCTTCGTAACAGAAAGATTTAGGAACTGCCTGTGGAGAAGAGATACAAAAATCTCCTTCCCTCCCACCACTAGTCTTAGATGCTTAGTTAGAAGTTTGGTAAAAAAAGACAGACACAACTCTTTGTTGTTAGATCATTTCCAGATCTTTGTGTTTATTGTGTTTATTATGAGTCTGGATAGCAATAGGTGTTCCTGTATCTAGTGTCAGTACAAAGGACGGAGATCATTCTGTATTTCATTTGGCTTGTGAACCCTAATTATTTTTCATGTTGTTCTTGGCTAATGCTAAAGGTCCATTTTAATTTGTGGCTTTCCAAAATCTTCTGCTGCCCTCAGGAAGAAAGTTCCTTCCTTCTTAGGATAGTGCTTTGCTGTGCATGAGATCAGACAGAATATTGCAAGCTAAAAACTGCTTCCTTCACTCCCAAAATGCAGCCAGCCCAGGACAGCATCTGCCCCTGTGTGCACAGCAGACACCTGTAGAGTGGGTGGCAAGGTGGAAACCCACTCCCCTTTGAAGCAACAACATTGGACTGGTCAGCATCACAAACTGAGGTTATTGCCTTTGTTTTCTTCCAGCACTGGGATGTATTTCGGACAATTACCGAAGTTTTTATCCTGGTTCCTGCCTTGGTTGGCCTGAAGGGTAACCTTGAGATGACGCTGGCATCCAGGCTCTCTACTGCTGTGAGTGTTAACAAGGTGATGGTGGTGGTGCGTGTGTGGGGACTGAGGGAATTAGCAGGAGACATCAGGAGATTCTGCTTTTATACAACTACACTGTGTGTATGAGACATGTCCTTTTCTGCTAAGTAGAAACTAGTGGTGTGTGAGTGTTAAAATAATGTGTTTGCCCTCATTTTGTAACTGGAACAGAGAATTTCCATCTGTGCTTTGAAGGTGAATTATCCCTAGGTGGCCAGTTGCTGATATTTTGGGCTCTGTGACACATGAAGGAGACAAAGCCAGGGCTCCGCAGCTGTCAGCTTCAGTATTGGATTGCTTTTCTGTGGGTATTGATCCTTTAGAGACTCAAGGCTTCCCAGCAATCCTACCTTGGGGGGAGCAGACCAAGACTTCTTGGAACCTGCAATAACTTCTGCTAGTCTGGATTTGATTTCTTCTATCTCCCTAAGCAGTTTTGCTTACTTTGGGCTCTTTGTATTGAGAAATTGGAGCTTAACAGAGCAATTTAGGGGGAACGAAAGAGGAAAAATGGTTTAATTTGTTCAGCTTTTGGTCTGTGCAGGATGTGGTGGATGTGCCCGCTCCACATTTAGCTGGGTGCCCTGCAATGCCTCTGCACCTCCATATGAGCCTCTGATACCCCTGGGATACTGGGCTGGAGCATGATGGAGATGTGTGAAGAAGGAAGTACAGGGAAGACTGGGAGATGCCAACCTGTGCTGGCCTCTCTCTGGCTTTAGCATCTCGTTTCCCACAGGGACCAGGTGAAACTGCCTTCAGCAGCCACCTGTGCCCCAGGAACAGGTTTTCAGGGTGTCTCTCTTGGCTCCTAGGCTAACACCGGACAGATGGATGATGCCCAGAAGCAATGGAAAATGGCCACCTGCAATTTAGCCCTTATCCAGGTGAGTCACTTCAGCTGGGAGGAGAAAAAGGCCCTTTTCTCTTGCTATGCTGCAGCCCAACAGCATCTGTTCCCAGCAGTGCTGAATCCCAAGCTGTTGGTTTGGGGCAGGCATTCTGAACAGAGCCAAGCAGAGCCCAGTACTTGACCTCCAATAAAGCTGTGTGGCCCTAGAGCTTGTAGTTTAGCTGCAAAACACATCTAGACATTCATTGCCTTTGTGAACAAACTGAAATAATGAAAAAACCTCCTTTTGCAGGGGGAGCTGTGGCACAGAATCCCTGTTTCACAACAGCCCCTAGATAAAGCCTGTCGTTTACTGGTGGTGTTTGGGAATCAGCCTTGGGCAGGAGGGGAGAGATGGGAGAAATATGACTCTTGTAGCTCTTTCTGCTTGTTAAAATCCAGCAACCAGCCTAGAGGTTGCACATGGCAAGGGCACAAGACTTGCAATGTGTGTCTGTGTTTCCCCTTATCTCCTTCCACAGCTTTCAGCTTGCTAGGAGTGCTGTATTGATGGGGAGCCTATTTTTGTGTTGACCAGAGCTATTCCTTTGCTGATGGACTCAGTGTCCTTTGCTGAAATGTTATCTGCCCTTTGCAGGCCTCCAGAATTTTTCTCCAAACTTTGTCAGGATGGTTTTTTTTAATCTAGTGGAGCCTTACAGGGATGCTGCTTAGATACATAAGCAATCAGCATCTCTGCAAGACTTTGCCTTCCTAGCTGTGTGGCAATGCTGCGGTTGCATGGAGCCAGGACTGCCTGGGAGCAGATGCGGATGATTGCTCACCAGCTGTCTTGTGGCCCCCAGGTCCAAGCCACTGTGGTGGGACTTCTGGCTGCTGTTGCTGCTGTGATCCTGGGAGCCATCTCCAAGGGCTCTGTGGAGCTGAGCCAGGCTGCCGTGCTGTGTGCCAGCAGCGTGACCACGGCTTTCGTAGCTGCACTTTCTCTTGGTAAGTCGTTTTAGTTCCTCAGATCAAACATGTGGCACTCAGGTGCGGAAAAATCTGTCCCTTCTGCCAGGGAGGCCCAGCTGACATCCCTTTGGTCTGGCACAGGGAGGAGGGATGCAGGGAGCATTAGTCCTATGTCTGCTGCTTTTGCCCCCTCCGCATCCTGCCTTTGCTTCTCTTCTCCCAGAATCTGTTGTTCACTGGGCTCTCGGTATCCACAGCAGCAATCAAAATGTCCCACTTCACCTGACATGCTAAAAATGCCACATGCTATGCGTAGATGTACAGACACGTGCACCCACTTTCTCCATGTGTCTTGGGTGACGCTTTAGCCATCTACACTGGCCCTTTCCTAGGGGAGAATGAACTAATACAGTGCACAAAGCAGGGTATTAAGAGTCTGTTAACAGATAACTCCAGACCACACTCGAGATGGACGTTGGTCACCCAATACTTTGTGAAAAGATGGTGGCCAGCCCTGTGGCTTGCCTGCTGTGAGCTCCGAGCCACTCCCCTGGCTATTCCCCTTGCAGGGGAAACGTGATGGGGTGGATGGGTAGGAGCTGCTCTGTGTCGCCTGGAGATCGTCAGTTTGTAGGTCTGCCATACGAGGGCAGCATGATACCTTGAATAGAGCGAGCTGGCAGAGTCCAATACAGCAAGTTTTCTAAATGAAAGGAACAAGTTAGAGCAAGTGCATATCCTAAAGCTGGAGTCAAAGGGTGATTGTAGATGCGTTTGATGAAAAACATAGGATGAGGCAGTTGTTAAAAGAGAAAATTAGCAGCCCAGCTTTTATTAAACTCTTCCCTTCAATCTTACTGCTCCATGTGATACAGAGAGGCTTTGCTGCCGTACCATCACAGGCTTTCAGCTAGCATTAGTTTCTTCCCTGGACACAGTCACAGGCAGGCCTATGTGTAGGTGTGCACAATGGGAAGCTGCTATTTTTATGACCAGGGAGAGAAGTAGCATGAACTGTGCTGTGGGGAGGAGAGTGTGGGCCTCTGTGAGGGCTTTGGTGAAGAATGCCATGTTGTGTGAGGATGTATTTCTGTATAACGGATGTTGTATCAGTGAAGGTGCACACATGGCGTTTCTTAGGGGAGAGCTGATGCTCCTGTGCACACTCAGCTTTGGTGGGCCTGTGTGAACAGGCAGAGAGACGTCGTGAGCTGGAGAGAACCACCATTTCCCAGGCTTCCTTTGGTGCATCCTGTCAGCCACAGAAGGACTTAGAAGAGGTGTCATGTATTGTCTCGAGGCTGCCCTTGCTAGTCACATAGCAGTGGAGGCTCGTCAGGCAGGGTTTATTCCAGGTGGCTCTTCTACAGGCCTGTTAGAGATCCTTATGGCTGAGGGATTCCCACATGTTCATCAGGGGTTTGGGGTTTGTGCTCATTAATTTACCTGGTCAAGCAAAACTTCCCTTCTGTCCAACAATGCTGAAAAGCAAATGATGCAGCTCAGAGGACTGGGGAAGAGAAGTGATGTGGGCCACCTCCATAACCCCTTGACTCTAGAGCTGCTCACAACATCAACGTCTACCCAGTGCAAATTGAAGCAGCCCCAAAGACTCTGGGACATGAGGGGTCAGTCTGATGGCTGGGTCAAAACGCTAATTCAGGCTACTGTAAGGAAGCTCATTGCTCCTTGGTGGTTCAAACTGAGAGAAATTTTGGTCTAATATGGAAAATATCTTTGTGCTGTGGAATCCACAGCAGGGGATGGCACCAGGAGGCTGCTGCATGCCTGCTGTGTGCTTATCTTATGAGCGTGCTTCGTGCCTGGTCCTGCTTCAAGGCAGCAAAGATTAGGCTGCTCAGGAGGGGAGCTTCTACAGTTGGACTGCCTGCTGGTATCTCCTTTGATCCCTGGAATTTGCTTGTGTGCCTCTGGGCCTTTGGTGCAGTTCATAAGGGCAGAGTCGTGCCCTTTAGGCTGGTGAAAGCACAAATTCCTGGGGATGTCCAAAATCCAGCTGCGTGGTACCGCTAGAGGCAATCTGCTTCTTGCTTTTCCCAGACCCCGTGTCCCTCTGGGAACCAGAACAGCAGCTCTGGGGTGGAACGCAGCAGGATACATTCTCTGATGCCTGCTCTGTATCTTCTCTAGGTCTGGTGATGATTGGCGTGATCATCGGAGCAAGGAAAGTTGGGATCAATCCAGACAACGTCGCCACACCCATAGCAGCAAGCCTTGGAGACTTGATAACCCTTTCCCTGCTGGCGGGAATCAGCAGTACGCTCTTCAAATACATAGGTACAGTGTTTAGCAGAGATTTGCTGCTCAGCAAGGGAGGGATGAATCCTTGTGAAATTATTGCAGCGTGCTTACCCATTTCTGGGATGTTTCAGAATGGTGGCTGTCATGCCACTGACTTAGAAAAACGACCAAAGAGGCTTTTTACAGGCTCTCTTTTAGTAGCAAACTGGAAGGCAGAGCCTAAGAAACACAGCTGGGATTTGTCAAAGAAATGACCAAGGTGTATTGCATAGCTTTGGAACAGAAGGTTGACATATGTGACACTGACTCTGTTCCTGCATCTGTTGCTAGCCAAGCATAACTACTTTCTGGGCATGGTTAACAGCAGGTCCTTCCTCACAAAGCAATTTCAGGGTTTTGACAGTTGTAAAATATTCTTGTGTCTTCTGATGTGGAGAGTCATAGATGAACAAGATACTATCACATTGGAGGGAGGAAGGCAGTGCTGCATTGTTTTATGCTCACAGGACTGAGCCGGAGTTGTGGGTATGGCGTTAGCTGTTCTGCTGGTTGGCAAACACTTGGGCACCTGTTGACGCTGAAAAGCTCAAAACATGTTGCAACTTGCTGATACATGCCCGACTGTTGCTTGTAAAGTGCTCGGCTGTTTACTGTGAGCCTCACCTAGAATTGAAACAGGAAAATAAAAAGATCCAGCAAACTCAGTACCATTTGAAACTCGAACTGTTGCTTCAGACTGTGAGCAGAAGCAGTGAGACAGCTGTTCTCAGTTTGCGTAACTCCTTCCATATGCCAACAAGTGAGGGAGCAAAGGAGCACACGTTGCAGGGAGCAGCCCACGAGTCGCTTCTGTCTAGTCCTCCTTGAGCTTCAGAGCTGCATTTTTTTAATAGGCTTTTTCCATGATGCCATCACACCTGCCTCTGCAAAGCTAGTTTGTCTTTCAGTCGCTACGCCTCTGATAATATCTTCCAGGGAGCACATGGCAGAATAACATTATAACTTCTGTGGTTGTGACCAGAGAGAATTTGTGATATTTTCAGAGTAGTTTAAATAACCCCTTGAGATGGAAAATACTCAGCACACAGACATGTAATCATTGGGAGGATGAAGTGAAGCAGGTAGGAGGAAGGCACTGTTGATGATGGTTGAATAAATCCATTTCCCTCCCCAGTGTGTAGTAAAGGACAGGTCATGCTGTTACAACTTCTGGGTCCTACCAAAATGTATCCTTCAAAAATACCAGTGCATCTATAAAGTTTGGAGTACTATGTGCCATCTGATGCAGTACCATCTCCTTCTGCGGAATACCCTTTTGCCAGTGAAGATTTTCAATTTTTTAAAAATCACCTCTGGTCCTTCCGGGTCTTTTGTAATGGAGACACAAATTGTGCCAAAGGGTTTCAGCTTGCTTATGGGCTGTATGTGAGAGAATGGGCAGAACTGGAATGTGGAGACTGAAGTCCATTCATCCTACCAGGAGTCTTTCTGTGGGCTTTGATGAGGTGTCACCGTTTAAGGCTGGGCCAGCA